ATTTCAAAAACTTTAAGAAATCTTACAAACCCCAAACTTTTAGTGTAGTATTATTGAAACAATCTTGATAAACAGTTTTGGGTATTTCAATCTTAAGGAGCCTTGGTCTATGCGATCTGTGATTTTCTTTTGCATTTATAGATTATTCTCTCCTCTCCTAGGTGTGCCTGGCTGTCTAAATTCCAGGATACCAACCAGTGGCTTCAGATTGACCTGAAGGAGGTCAAAGTGGTTTCTGGTATCCTGACCCAGGGCCGCTGTGACTCTGATGAGTGGATTACTAAGTACACTATGCAGTACCGCACCAATGAGAAGCTCAACTGGATCTACTACAAAGACCAAACTGGAAACAACAGGGTAAGACGACAAACAGCCCATCCTGGAATAATAAGGATTGCTATTCCTTTTAAAGTATTGCACAAATATTGTTTTTTCCTCAGGTATTCTATGGAAACTCTGACCGCTCTTCCACAGTCCAGAACCTGCTGCGTCCATCTATCGTAGCACGTTACATCCGCATCCTCCCTCTCGGCTGGCACACTCGTATCGCCATCCGCATGGAGCTGCTACTTTGCATGAATAAATGCACCTGATCTGGAACATGTCAGCAAAGCCATACCCAACTACTTCCTGTTCCACCTCTTTTCTTGTGTCACAATATGCCAAAGTGAATATCATTGCCCAATCATTGCACTCAATTCATTTATTTGTATTCTCTGGTATTCTTCAAGGAAGAAATGATCATTAGCATGTGTTACATTTACATTTATTTGTGTTCAATGTTGCATATAAAGCCCTTTTTTCATGTTATGTTGTATTCATTATATGAAGTTTGTTGCTTTGGCAAATCAGACTTAAAGGTTTTGCTTATCTGGAGAGAGGTGGGAGATCTCATGGAGTGTTGTATTATTGTGTGTTCTAATGTGGTTTGTGATGGTGATGTAGCATGTTTCATTCCCACAGTTTTGACCAAATCCCTTTTTGTATTTACTATGAGCCTACATTGTTTAATTGTGTTTGTGCACTTACCTGAGAAACAATGCCTTTAAATAAAGGAAGTCTCTCTCTGTACCTTGTATACTTTGGTTGTATAATATATTCACTCTCAAGTTGGACAAAAATAATAAAATATAATAAATATTAATATATTAAAAATAACTGTAGTAAGGGGAGCATGTGGTAAAGGCCCTTTGTGTATCAATACACGCATGGGATGATCCAATGTATTATTAGAGGAAATCAAATTAATTTGCTAATACTAAATTTAAATTTTATTTCAAATGAAGTAATCTAATTTCATAAAAATACATCTGATATAGCTTTTAATGATTCGCTTGTATATAAGATAATTTAATTCTACTCAAGAGGTGATGTCAAAAAAAAAGGGATGTTTGAAATGTGATAATTATTTCAAAATAACTTAAATATGCCTCAGGGGTATTTTGCCCTATTTCAGAAGGGGTCATCTTACCCAAGGTTTCTCACTTCACTCAAAAAAATAAAATAAAATAATTTTCCCCCAATGTCTAAATGAATTACTGTGTCCATGAATTAGGCTATCCGTCAACAAGCATAAAAACATGATATTCTGTTATATAAGTTTCCCAGAAAACTGTACATTAACTATCAAATGACATCATCTAAACTGTTCAGATGAAATAAATCTGACAAATGCTGATTAGAAAATATGCTCTTGCTACAAATTTTTGAGTCGAGTGCGTGCGCATGCGCTTCAAGTCAGATTAAGGAGGCATGCACCTGCTTGTTAGTCATTAGGGGATTGATTAGACATACCTTAAATTGTAGTTTCGCTTCAGCGACTGTTGTTTACACACTCTTCTGATCATCATGAAAGCTCCTAGCCTTAAAAGCAAGCGGTGCACGTCACCCAGAAGTTCCATATCAAGAACCAGAGGACACGCTGCGTTCAGGTACACAGTCCGACAACAGGTGTGTTTTATAGATCCAGTAACTATAACTAAAGAACAAAAGTTGAAAAATGTACGTAAAATGATTGCATATGAAAACAACTGGCTTTCATGCCCAGGTCAATCAGACGGCAGTGGGACGCGTTCATGAGTCCACGGGCGTAAGCAGATATTTGCTGCAGAGAATGGGGTCAGAGGCCGCGCGTCTCTCGTGTTTCAGCCGCCACAGAGCCATCACGCGGAGGGAGATCCTGGAGGCCTGGGATCAGCTGAGACGCCGCAGAAACTCCGCTGCACTGGCAGGCGCTTGAGTCTTTTTAATAGACGCTTTTAATGTATCTATTTTAATCGATCTGTAAATATTTAATTGTTGAAATAAAAGCCTTTTGTTAAAATGGTGAGCCTTTGTTTATTATAGTCTATGCTGATTTGTGACATAATCTTTATAACCTTTATGAGAACTGTTTAACACATTCTGTAGTGTCATAGAATTAATGCCGGCAGATTTTAACTCCTCTTCTAACAGCCATATAACCAGATAGTTAGAAACTATAGATTCCTAAATCTGACATACCTCCATTTGGCTTAGTGTCTTTTCTTTTAGCTTTGTTTTTCTTTTTAGCTTTTGCTTGTCCGCCCATTGTTGTTAGATAAAATTTATGTCACTTTTAATACAGAGAAAAATACTTCTCCAATAGAGGTGCGTTCACTTGCCAGCGTGAAAGTACGCATGGGCCAAAATGTATTTAAACAATCTTCTTTTGATGTTTAATGGCGGTTGGCAAACCAGATTTTGGTGCATATTCCGCCACCTACTGGGATTGAGTGTGAGGCGATACCAAGGGAAATGCTAATTCAAAACAAAAAAAATTCTTCTACCTGTATTTTATTATATACATTTGTTCTTTTCAGAAAATTAATAAGAGCTTTATAACCTTTATGAGAACTGTTTAACACATTCTGTAGTGTCATAGAATTAATGCCGGCAGATTTTAACTCCTCTTTTAAAGGGGTCATATGATGCGATTTAAATTTTACCTTTCTCTTTGGAGTGTTACAAGCTCTTGGTGCATAAAGAAGATCTGTAAAGTTGCAAAGACTAAAGTCTCAAATCCAAAGAGATATTCTTTATAAAACTTAAAAGAGTCAGCCACGCCTACCTAAAACGGCTCGTTCTAACATGCAGTGTGGGAAGATTTGCATAACGCAGCCCAAATGTTCAGGCAAAGAAAGAAGGCGTATTCTCGCTGTAGTATTGTTGTTGCCGCCACCGCTATGTCAGGCAGATTTTAATTCCTCTTTTAACTGTATTCTTTCCCTTTCATATGCCCTACAGTTAATCAGCACATGCTCTACCGTTTCTGGAAGTCCACAATGATAACATTGACCAGATTCACGTCTTCCTATCATCTGGAGTAGTTATTAAGAGTAGAGTGTCCAATTCTCAATCGAGATATAACTATCATCCCTTCTATTACCATAAGCAGTTCTTACATGTCTTACTTGTTTATTTATATTATACAAATGTCGCCCTTTGTTACCTTTATCCCATCTCTCTTGCCATATCTTTCTGACAGCTACTTTAATTAAACCTTTAATTTCAGATTTACTCAAGGGTATATGCATGTCAATATTTGTGTGCTTAAGAGCCTGTTTCACTATCTTGTCTACCTCCTCATTTCCTTCCACTCCAACGTGAGCAGGCATTAAACGAACCTTTGAAGTGAACGAAGTTCTTCTAGCACTGGACAGGACTGGACTGGACTCCCCCTCGGTCCATTCGCCGCGGGGCCCCCTCAAGCGCGGGCCTGGTGCGACCGCACCAGTTGCACCCCCCTAAGGACGGCCCTGTCGCTCATGAACAAGGCCGGCCGACTGAATTCGTCATATCAATACATCTCGTTCGTAACACAAAGGAGGCGGAGGAAGCATTATAAACAAAATAATTATTTATAGTGTATAATTATATTACATGACTGAAGACTCTTTCTATCTCTTGTGAACGTCATGTTTTCCTATCTCTCGTTAACGTCAGTTATTGATAAAATTAAGGAAAAAAATTATAGATCTGAACAGTTGTCCTGCATGGAGGAAACACCTATACTCTTATGCCGAGTTCACACTGCATGATTTTCAAACTCGGTGATAAGGAAATAACGCGAGAACCCGTGTGCGTCAGACCGGAGTTCTCCATCGAGACTGTAATTATTAAAAAATATATATATAGCCTGCAAATTTTCTGTGAGCTGATTTCCAGCTACAAGGAGAAAAAGAAAAACAGAAGGCAGGAGGGAGATGCAGTAAACGGGGATTGAGTGTTCTGAAAATAGAGCTGGAGGTAAATAATTTAGCAGTAGGCTAACTGTTATGCTGATGTTGTGGCTGGTCAGGCAAATGTTTGTGCTTGTTTCTGTATGATATAATTGTTCATATATCTATTAAAATACTGATATTCTGGTCTATAACTCCTCCCCGAACTTCCTGCCCTGTATCTTGGTCTCTCATTGGCTGTAGGTCATCGCCGATGTAGTTGTCAGTCAGAAATCATTGCACACAGCGATTGATTGTGAATCGCCGACAGCTCCAGATATTTAGCATGCCAAATATTTTGCAGTGTCGGCGATGTGTCGGCGATTCCCTCAGATCGCGCGTCTTTGATCATTCACACTCCGTGATTGTCCCTCTCATGAACGATCACCGATTTGCCTCCGATTTCGGGCATTTGTCGATTTCGCAAAACCTGTCGGCGAGTGATAAATCGGGCTAAAATCGTGCAGTGTGAACTCGGCATTAGTAACTATGTAGACAAGCATATTTTAATCAATTATAAAATAACACTTAAATGGACTGTTTTTCAAAGAATTAAACGATTCAAATAGACTCAATGTCGCCACCTACTGACGTAAGTGCATAAAGGGTTAATAAGCGGATCAGTGAATGAATCTTTTACTGAACGGATCCAAACGATTCGAGTCACTGGAATGAATCAAAACCTCCTCACTAGACTCACAGGAGTCAGTGAGACGTGCTCTCAAATCGTCAGACTGCCACTGCGTTTCATGCAGGCTAGCCTTGTCTGACACCTGTGGTGTTGTTTAGCTGTTGCATCCCTCCACATTTGGAAATGAATGTTTGATTTTTCATCATTTACTTCTTATCCAATCCTAATTTCTCAACGCATGTGCATGTCGTACTGAATGATGGACAACGGAAAGGTAACTTAACTTATGAATCTCGTTTCCAATACGCAGTGTTTTGTTGGTGTTCCGCGCCTAATTATACTATTGTTTATTCCGCGTGTTTCTTCAGCCTTTGTTGTTAAAGAATAATGATGTCTGTGTCAGTAATCTTTTTAGTACCTCTTAAAGAGTTTCATGCTACTTAAAAATAATAAGCATCTCCCTAGAAGTTGGGGCAACATATTTATTATTATTGTTATTATTGTATTTGTAACGCTGTGAAGATGACAATCAACAGTCTACATCTCTCTCCCTGTGTCCCCTCCCAGAGATTGATCACTGTTAAAAGGGCCTTTTGAAAGGCTCTTTAGGGCACAGATTAAAGTCCAGCATGATTTGTATTTTTTGTTGCTTTATTCTACAGAGACACACTACTGTGATGCTGGATTAATTCCGAGCAGTATTGCTTTTTTCTAATGCCATTTCACTTCATTACGAATATCAAAACAGCACTGAAATATTAGATCTAATAGCCATGAGGATGCATCTCCCCAGATTTGTGTTCAAATATATTTTTATGAAACCATTACCCTCAATCCTGAATATGTGGTTGCAGTCTCTGTACTGATGAAGTTTAAGCTGTTTAATTCTTAAATTATTTATTAAATTCTTATATTATTCTTATATTATAAATTCTTATATTATTATTTAAATAATTTATTTTTGCACAAACATTTCTGGATACTAAATGAAGAAGAGAACCTTAAGAATTTTGGGTATTCATGACTAGAAGCAAGAAGTACCATCATGGGATGCGGCACATCTATTGCCGTTGAGAACCAAACACCACCCTCAGAAACTGGTAAATATTTGTTCTTTATCCCTAATGCTTTAATGTGATTTGCAATATTGTTTAACCTCTTTTTCCTCTCCCCTTTGCAACAACCCTGGTTTCAAGAAGTTTGCATTACTTATTTATTGAAAAATATGGCAATGCTTGCGTTGCATTTAGTCCCCAGCCCTGTCTTTTTTTCCACCCGCAAGGTATTACTTAAATTATTCAATTTAATTTAATCACCTCTCACACAGATGGCTCCATCAAGCAGCCCAGCCCAGCTCTGAGTAAGGCACTTTCTTCAGCATCTGTCATGACTGTCTGTGTCTCATTCGTGGCTATAGAGAAGTACTAGATGGCATGAAAGCACCAATGTAGATTTGTTTACATACTTTTAAAACTACCATATTTTTTGAGGTAAACCTTTGAGTGTGATTTTTCTCTGTGCATTTAGAATAAATAAAATGGATGATCATGAGCAATTCTCCCATCCTTCTCGAGCACAGCTTATAATTTCTCTATGGATGTGTACTCTTGAGCAAAGCCTTGTCTCTAATGTCTGTGTTGTGTTCTTTCTCCTTAACTGCTCCTAGCACTTCTTTAATTAGCACCTGTGATATTGACCTCCTGAGACGAGGTGTATTTTTTAGAACAGTCTTTGCAATCAAGTGTTCTGGAAAAGATGCAAGTGTTCCTGTACCAAGAGCTGTATGTGCATTAAAGCATGATGTTAACATGATAACGTGAATCTGATGAGACAAATGAGAATCAACTGTAGCAACAGAACATCTCTGAAGGGTTGTGTTGGTACTGTCTTAAAATGCACTGTTTTTAATCTTTCATGTTTAATTTCTCTATATATGCACACATATTTCCCAGAAATTCTACATTTGCCATTTTGGCATTGTCTTTTGGCTCATTTGTTCTCAGAAATAATTTGTTAAACAAGTACAGTTTAACCATGAGTAGCAACCTCCTTTATACCAAAGCGCTCTCCCATGCCCTCATGGGATAGCAAAGTGTCCAATGGTTGCAGACTATCAGGGGATGGAGTAGGTCATGCCGGGTCTTGTTTAATGAATGCTGCATATTTAGATAGAGGCTGTGTCTGAAATCGCATACTAAGTAGGTACTTCTTTTGCATAAGTAAATAAATTGTGTCAGCTAAGAAAGTAAGTGTGTAGTATGAATGAAATATGGATGTACTACAGTCACTATGTTGTCATTGCCATGCGACCTACCAGCATCAGTTGCGTCGCTTCACTACCATTCACAAATTCGCTCCCGTGGCCTCATGGGATAGTTTTGCATTCTATGCATTGAAGTAATAAGTCATCTGGGTGTGTGAAGAGACATACTACTCTCTTCACACACTGTTTTTCCTCCTATTATCTAATAGGAAAGTATGCGATTACAGTTGCAGACATATTTCTGCTTTTTGCACACAAAGTAGGGAAGTATTCATATTTGGTGCATTGAAAAACCTCATTGCCTGCATTTCTCTTCCCAAATAGTTTTTGTCTCAAAACTGTGGTCACAAAAATATTGCTTCAAGGATTCTGTTTACACCAGCCACTTGCGTTCTTTGTGTGTTCTTAACGTATTTAGCCATGAAAGCTGCCATACTGATCCAGCGTTGGTACAGACGCTATGTTGCTCGCCTGGAGATGAGAAGACGCTATACGTGGAACATCTTTCAGTCCATTGAGTATGCAGGGGAACAGGACCAGCTACAGGTATAAAAGACACTTGCTTATTATGGCCAGTCCATACATAGAAAAAACAAACAAATATCCTACCCTACGCTTAATAAACTTGTAATGATATTAAAACTCAGATTTTCAGCATTCATTTTAATGCAAGTATACATCTTTTTAATTTTTATAGCTTTCCAGTTTCTTCAGTTTCATGTTGGACAACTTCACACAGATGAATGGACCAGGTAATAACTGTGTCCGATTAAAAGATGCAAAAGCTTCTTTAAGGAAAGTGTGTAATTTAATTGCACAAATAATTAACAATTTCAAACACTCCCATTTGTCATTGGTCAGACAAACTGATTAAACACACTATTGGTTAAGTCATGGTGGTTTGTCGGGCTATAGTAGTTTGATACAGCAAAATTTCATTTTCTTTAGTGATTTTGTTTTTTCATTATCTGAATTTGGCTGTCCCTAAGCACACCTTTGGAAAGCCCCTAGCTCATGTGATTTTTGCATCAAACGATCTCCCTCTGGAGTGTTGCACACCTATCCTTTTAGTGATTCCAAAAAATGCTATATGGGGAGACAGTTGCTTAGCAACCTTGGGAGATCCCATTTTGAGTGGTGGTAATGCGGAGAGAGCCAGAAATGCAGCAACCAGCCTCCACAGGCAGCTGTCCAAAGTGCAGAATTACAGAAGACAATTAGTCCCATCTTTAGTCAAGCAGAACAGCGGAAACTCAAATGAGATCACCAAGAACACAGTTGAAAAATCTAGAGAGAGACTGTGCATTGAATGTTTCTGAAGAATAATAACAGTAGTGAAAACAACATATTCAGTTGTTTTACCCAATAGTGAATGTCAATGTTGCTTTCACTATTTTATATTCTTCACATGGGGTTCTTTGCTCCGGCCTGTGATGACACTAAATTGGCTTTCCTCTGGGAAAACTGTTTAATCAGTTGCTATTGAGTGGGCCGCAAGTGCACATGACTGGTCTTGTCAGGTAATAATGATCTAGGGATTGGATGGTTTTCAGCTTCTTGTCTGTGTGGCTTCAGAATCTTTGCCTGATGGCAATTAGGAAGTATGTAATTATAGTATAGTAAAGTGTATCTTCATATTTATTATTGAAAGGTCTGCAGGCACAATATAGTGGAGCTTAATTGGGTGCCATGGGTTCTGAGCACTAAGGCTTATATTTTAATATTATATATATATATACTTTTTTTTTAAATTCTCATGCTCACCAAGACTGCATTTGTGTGATCATAAATGCAGTAAAAAAAAAAGTAAGATTATTATTAGAAAGTAAAAATTATTAAAATTAAAATAGTTTGTGTAAAATTAATATATGTGTATATAGTATATATGTGACCCTGGACCACAAAACCAGTCATAAGCAGCACAGGTATATTTGTGGCAATAGCCAACAATACATTGTATGGGTCAAAATTATCAATGATCAATTATCTATCTCAGCCAAATATGGTCAGATCCTGACAAACCATACTTCAATAGAAAGCTTATTTATTCAGCTTTCAGGTGATGTATAAATCTCAGTTTCAAAAAATGGAATATGTTAAAGCATAAATTATTCCTCTGGTGGCATAGTTAAATTTTCAGCAGTCAATATTGAAAACGGTTGTGCTTCATGTTTTTGTGAAAAGCATAATACTTTTTTTCAGGATTCTTTGATAAATAGAAGGATTCTTTGATAAATAGAAAGTTGAATAAACAAAACATTTATTTGAAATAGAAATTTCAAATTAAAAATGTCTTTACTGTCACTTTTGTTCAGTTTAAAGCATCCTTGATAAAAGTATCAGTTTCTAAAAAAAAAAAACTTACTGACCAACCTTTTGAACATTAGCACATCTGCAGATTTTTACTCAAAATCACAGAAAAGCCTTGAATATTGCCTGATTTTCGGTCAGACAGTAGAGCTCTTTATGTGAAACCAAATGGAGCTTAATAATGTTTGTTTATCGCTAGCAATCTAAAGAAGCAGGGAATGATGTCCAGTAGATATTGGCTAAATTATTCCTCTGGTGGCATAGTTAAATTTTCAGCAGTCAATATTGAAAACGGTTGTGCTTCTTCATGTTTTTGTGAAAAGCATAATACTTTTTTTCAGGATTCTTTGATAAATAGAAGGATTCTTTGATAAATAGAAAGTTGAATAAACAAAACATTTATTTGAAATAGAAATTTCAAATTAAAAATGTCTTTACTGTCACTTTTGTTCAGTTTAAAGCATCCTTGATAAAAGTATCAGTTTCTAAAAAAAAAAAAACTTACTGACCAACCTTTTGAACATTAGCACATCTGCAGATTTTTACTCAAAATCACAGAAAAGGCTTGAATATTGCCTGATTTTCGGTCAGACAGTAGAGCTCTTTATGTGAAACCAAATGGAGCTTAATAATGTTTGTTTATCGCTAGCAATCTAAAGAAGCAGGGAATGATGTCCAGTAGATATTGGCTAAATCAAGGAAAGAACAAATTATTTTGCATTTGCTCTCTCCCCAATACAAACATCTGTTCCTGAAATTCAAGTCTCTCTGCATAAATTTACGGAAAACACTGCAAATTTACATTTTCAAGAATGACACAATGGGTCAGCACTCCTCAAATCCCTGTGCAGGGCCAGACGCTATGCCGATTGAAGTATGCTACATTGTGTTATGGCACTGTGTGCTGGGTATTTTGATGGCCAATCAAAATAGGCCTTTCATAATAGACTCCAGGTTGAGAATTAATCATTTATTTAATAACTGAAAACTGAAACCGATATGCCTGTCCGCATGTATTCATGTTCCCGTGTGCTCATCATGCCACATGCCCAGTGCTGCCTAACAATAACACAAACCTTTTGATGTTCCAGAGTGTTTCCTAGTTCACATTTACAATTTTTTTTTTTTATCAGGCTGCTTTTTTTTGCTGATTATAGTAATAAATAGTTATCACATGATGATGGAGAAAAAAGGTTAACATTTTTATGACAGAGATTATGCATTTTCCATACCATGTCCCAACATCCATGCACCACAAAATTGGTTGCACTGATTCACACCAAGATATTCAAGTTGCATGTCACACTTGCTTTCTGTGATTCTTCTTTCATTCTTCCCACACACGAGTCACGACAGCAGCCGTGTTCTCTTTCCCCCAGACTTGATCTCTCACCTCCTGGACTCTGTGGTTGACCCGTTAATTGAGGAGGTCAGGCAGTTGAAGTACGAGCAGATTGTCGTGCCGGAATCGTACTGCGGTCCTCGTCTCTCCTTCCCACTGAGCGTGACTGATACCAATGCCCTACTCAGCGCCTTTAAAGAGGAGCAGGTACAACTCTATAAAACTTTCACTAATAGTCTGAACAATTATGAGCCTTCTGGCAAAAACCAAGATCATCTTGTACATTATTTATCTCTGTCTAGCAGACTTTAAACCATCTTCAAATTGTATTACACTACCGTTCAAATGTTTGGGGTTGGTCAGATTTTTTAAATGTGCTGCATTTATACAGTAAATATAGTAATATTGTATATTTTGTTACAATTTAAAATACTTAACTGTTTTGTATTTTAATACATTTAAAATGTAATTTATTCCTGCATGGAAAGGGTGAATTTTAAGCAGTCATTACTCCAGTCTTCAGTGTCACATGATCCTTCAGAGATCATTCTTAGATGCTGTTTTGTTGCTCAAGAAACATTTCTTTTTATTATCAATGTTGAAAATAGTTGTTCTTCTAAGGAATCTGTAATTAATTTTTAATCTTTTTAATCTTGTTACATTTTACTATCACTTTTGATTAATATAAAGCACCCTTGTTGAATAAAAATATATTATTTCAAAATAAATAAATGACCCCAAACTTTTGAACAGTAGCGTATATTTATAACCTTAATAGTTTTATAATATTTTCTGTAGTGCTGTCAAACGATTAATCGTGATTAATCGCATCCAAAATAAAAGTTCTTGTTTACATAATATATGTGTGTGTACTGTGTATATTTATGTATATATAAATACAAACACATGCATGTATATATTTATGAAAAATATGTTATGTTTATATATTAAATATATTTATATAAAATATAAGAATATAAATATAGAAATGTATGTATACATGTAAATATTTTCAAAATATATACTGTATGTGTGTGTATTTATATATATATAATAAATATACACAGTTAACATATATTATGTAAACAAAAACTTTTATTTTGGATGCGATTAATTGCAATTAATCGTTTGACAGCACTAATTTTTTGATAAACAGTATCAAAACATAAGCTTAACTAAAACTTTATCTCTTTTCTACAATTCTAGCCATTCTTCTATTCTATTGCTCTTTAATTTAGAAATAGCAAACAAAAAATGCAGTGACCTATAAATGCGTGACTCATTTTCAGACTCTTCACGGCAAATATGTGCTGCAGCTACTATATGAAACGAAGAAGTTCTTGAAACAGATGCCAAACGTCATATACCTGTCGACGTCCTATACCAAAGAGATAACTATATGTGGTGAGACACTATATATTTTATGAAAAAAATAATCCACCTCAGATTTGTTGCAAGTTGCAACAGTGCGTTTGAGATATGTTAAATATTTTTGATAGCTTGTATGGAAAACCAGTGATGCGGCATGGATGAATGAGTGCTTATTTATTTTGCACTTCATAAAGCACTTCAATGTACCTCAATGGGCTCCTCACAGCCAACCTGCACCATTTCATACTCAACAGCGTTCCTGATTCAATTAGTACAGAAAAGCATGCATGAATAACTGAATTCCCATCTTCGAATACTCTAAAAGAGATCGCGTTATACCATTTAAAGTGTTTATATTTTGCATATTTTCATCACAGATTCCAATATTTGATTTATATTCCCTGGAATGATAAACAGCTTTTATGTGCCGCCTTTCTCTTTCACACAGGCGATCTGCATGGTAGACTGGATGACTTACTGCTTATATTTTACAAGGTAAATGCAGATCGATTGTTTAGATGTAGACTATTATTTCGAGTAATTACATTTTAGCATATTGGTGCAGGGGTAATGTACCTAAGCAAATCCAGAGAATGAGTTCATTAAAGCCACTTGGGCATGACTTGTGACTTATTACACTCAAGATGTATTGCCTTATTGCCCAGAATGGTCTGCCCTCTGCGGAGAACCCCTACATATTCAATGGAGACTTTGTGGATCGAGGAAAGAAATCTACAGAGATTATCATCATTCTGTTTGCCTTCCTACTGCTGTACCCCGACCACATGCATCTGAACAGAGGCAACCATGAGGACCACATCATGAACCTCAGGTAACATGCTAAATCACCCATTCAGACTAATAATGAAGGCATGACTTTTAATAAAGCTATACAAAAATTATTCCATGCTCTGTGCATCCTAGTAGTCAAAAAAGGCTTTCTAGGCATGGTATACCACAAATAGGATGCACTCAAAAAGTTTTTTTTTTTTCAAACTGAATTTAAAAGTATGATTTATATTATTAGTGTGTAAGTTTTTGATGTTCTTGCAGATACGGATTCACAAAAGAAGTCATGCAGAAGTATAAGGTATATTTTTATATGTGCTTTTTTGTTTATTAATGTTTTGATTATAGGCAAGTTAAATATAGAGTTGCTAACTTTTTTCCAATTTCGTAACAATTTTTGTAAAAACATTGATTTGAAAATGTCATTAAAACTGCTGAAAAAGCCTTAAAACTCAAAATTACTTGAAATAAATAATCTACTTTTATAAAGAATATCTCTTTGGATTTGAGACTTTAGTTTTTGCAACTTTTCAGATCTTCTTTATGCACCAAGAGCTTGTAACACTCCAAAGAGAAAGGAAAAATTTTAATCGCATCATATGACCCCTTTAATAAAGGTTTAAAAAGGTTTACTGTCAAATATTAGACGTCACCGCCACTTACTGGACATGTAAAGAAATGCACATTAACTTCTACTGTGTTCTTAATAGACTCATGGCAGGGAAATCCTACAGCTTCTTCAGGATGTGTTCAGCCTGCTTCCTCTTGCAACTGTCATCGATAACAAAGTGCTTATAGTTCACGGTGGCATATCGGACAAAACTGATCTGGACTTTCTGAGCACTGTTGAAAGGCATAAAGTAGGTGTTTTTTTTAACTTCCGTGGATTTATATTCTTTCTTTTCACATAATACAATTATTTCAATTTTAAATTTATAATTCACATGCATTTGTTTATTTATTTGGCTTTCTGAGCACAGTTGTGAGACATAAAGTAGGTCTTTTATTTATAGGAGAAGCCTATTTTAGAAGCCTATTTATAGGCTTCTTACATAATAAAAATAATTTCAGTGTAAATATACAGTTCATGTTTGTTTAGGTAAGTAGCCATGTAAAAATCAGGATAATGTAAAAAGGATTATCCCTCACATTGCAGGTGAAGTCTGCTCTCAGGTTGCCCAAACGCAGCATTGATCATCTCAACGTCCGTGCCTGCAGTCGCAGCAGCAGCAGACACAGCGGAAGATCCAGACTGGACAGCCCTTGCTCCTCAGGCCGCACCAGTCGTGCTTCCCGCAGAAAGAAGAAGCACTTCACTAGGCAGGGGAGCTGCTCCTCATCTTCATCATTCTCATCCTCCTCATCATCCGTGTGCTCCCCCCGGATCTCGTCACGGAACACTCCACATCGACCTCCACCTTCCCCTAGTCTGCCAAGCCCCACCAAAATATAAAAAATATAAAATATAAAAACTCTTTAAATATACAAAACGTACTTACAGTATGTGAGTCTGAACAGCCGGCATTGTAGTCTACCAGGATCAGTAAAGAGCCCCCTGAGCCACCCAGAGAAGAACTGGAATGGCAGCAAGTGAGTTGAAACTGTTCCCAGAATGTGTGTTTTGTCGGTGAAATTGTGTGACAAATAACTTCTATCTTGGATGTGGAACTGTTCTGCCTTGGAACTCCATTTAGCTTAAACCTCCACAACACAATATGACTCACTTTATTGCAGGAGATGTGAGAATTTTGTACCAACTTACTGAACTTCCATAAAAAGGTGTTTATGAATTATAAAAGAGCATGGCACTCTGGGTTTTGTGCTTAGAAAGAATAAATCGACAACCACACATTTCTATGATATTCTTCAATATAAAATCTTCCAGTTTTTGTATTTTTGTGTTCTCATTTTAATTTTAGTTTGTGTTTTTTTGTCATATATATCTATCTATCTATCTATCTATATATATATATATATATATATATATGTGTGTGTGTGTGTGTGTAAATATATATTTAGCTTTAATTTACATTTTATTTCAACTTTATTTCAATTGATTTTTAATAGTTTTAGTTAGCAATAACAACACGGAGGTGAATATCTGATTACAGACACTAAATTTTGGGTTAACTATTCCTGTAAAACTGTGGCTCACAGTATAAATTACATTTCTGACCTGAAGCATTTTGCTGTCTTTATACCCGTTTCAGCCTTTGACTTTTAGTTAATGATTTTTAAAAAATAATAATAGCACTGATCTCTAGAAAACTTTTTAAAATCATTTAGTAGTTCCTAAACATTTAAAAATAGACAAATGACTGTAAAGGCCCGTTCACACCAAGGACAATAACTATAAAGATAATGATAAAGATATAGTTCTAAAAATCGTTCTGAATATTAAAGAATAGCAGAGTCCACACCACAACTATAATGATAAAGGCACAGAGAAACGATATCGTTGGAATCACTTTCATAACTATTTTTTTCAGCTGATGAACGATAAAAACATTGACACCCAATCAGAATCAATCCTGCTGTCACGAGCTTGAGAATTTAAAGCGGCAGACGAGCGTGCGCTTAGAATAAACAGACGATATCGTTCGCTGGTGTGGACGCTAATATCGTTATCTTTATAGTTATTTTTATAGTTATCGTTCTTGGTGTGAACGGTACTTAACAGTGATGGAAAGTATAAGAAGATGCTTGTCAATTATGTGTTATTTCACATTGTCATAATTTGTCTGATACAGGTTGTTGATATCCTGTGGAGTGACCCTAAAAATCTAAACGGCTGCGGTCCGAACTCTTTTCGCGGTGGAGGCTGTTACTTTGGGCCAGACGTGACGCAGGCGCTGCTGCAGAAACACGGCCTCTGTCTGCTCATCAGATCACATGAATGTAAACAGGAGGGCTATGAGCTCTGCCACAACGGACAGGTGAACACAGGAGTTTTGATCCATGCAAAGCATGATCCATTCTGTCAAATTTCAGCTTTTCTCATAAAAATCTAATTAGAGGTGTCTTACCAGTTTTGATTTTATGGGGTCTGTAAACTTGTATATCTTTAACAACAGCATTATTTCAGGAATTGTTCTCTTTTATTTAAGGTTATCACTATTTTCTCTGCATCTAACTACTACGAAGAAGGCAGTAACCGCGGGGCGTACATCAAACTGGGGCCTGAATTGGTCCCACGCTTCTTCCAGTATCAAGTTAGTCGAAGCACCAGAAAACTCACACTCCATCAAAGGTACACTTGTTACGCCTTCAATAACAAATAGGTGTTAAGTATATGGAACTGTGTGACTGGTTACATATATATGTGGAAGTTCTCATGCATCCATATTAATTTGTTTGTTTGTGTGTGTTTCAGGGTTCGTGTAGCAGAAGGTTCAGCACTCAGGGCTCTGAAAGAGCAGCTGTATGCTCACCGCTCTGAGCTAATGGCTGTCTTTCAACAGTATGACATAGACAACACAGGTTATATTATATTATGTTATATTATATTATGCACTTGCAGGTAATTGGAAGGTTAAACTAAAATGGCTCTTCTCTCCATTTCTTGCAGGTCGCATCTCCACTAGCGAGTGGGCACAGGTGGTGGAGTCTGTGCTGCGATTGGATCTGCCATGGAGAACCCTGCGCCCACGCCTGGCCCGTCTTAGTGCAGATGGCAATGTAGAGTATGAATCCTGCTTTGAGGACATCAGCCCTGGAGAACCCATCCCTCCGGTCACTATCTTAATCTATGTTTATGTTATGTAAGGATGGGTTGTATGACCAAAATCCTATATCATAAATTATATGAGTAATTTTGTATTACATTAACGTTATACATATCACTTTGACACTTTATAATAATTTCAGCAGGGAATTTGGAAAATGGTTTATATGTTAATAGTCGTGTGGTAATGCTTATATTTGGATAATGAAGTGAATTATTTACAAAGTAATGAACCATTGTTAAACAGCTGATATGAAAAAATTTGGTTGCCAATTTTTAACCACATATATGTTATACTGCCCAGCTTTAGCAGACATTTTGACTTTTATTTTGAAAATATAGTACCTCACAATTCAGTCTCAGTTTTTGAAATTAACCTTTTTTTTTTAGGTAACACCAAACTTGGCTGAAACTCTTTATAGATATAGAACTGACCTAGAGATAATATTTAACATCATCGATAAGGACCATTCAGGTTAGTGTCAATGCTTTCCTGATTGTTCAATGAGATTAATGCTGGTTATTATATGGTGATCATAACCCACCTGTTTACCTTCACATAGGTCAGATCTCCATTGAGGAGTTCCGTCAGACTTGGAAGCTCTTCAGTTCCCATTTGGGGGTTGCTGTGAATGACCAGACGATAGACGACATGGCTCGAAGCATAGACTTTAACAAAGACGGCAGCATTGATTTTAATGAGTTCCTGGAGGCTTTCAGGGTGGTGCATAAACTGGATGTCAAAGAGCAGCAGCAGGGTTGATTCTGGATGAGCAGATTACAGAAAAGGCAGATTTACAAATCATTTTTGGCACTTCATCTTTATTTTTTAACATCTTATGGACACAGAAGTTATTCATTTTCATTTTCCAGGATTCACATTTTTCATAAAGGTAAGAGTTTTCAGTCTTCCTGCCCTTTGTGATAAAAAAGTTCAAATATACTGAAAAATGCACAGTTTAAATACAGTCACAGCTATTTTGTAGCACTGTAATTCACAAGTTGAGTATAATTGTTCAGCAGTACATAACCCTATAATTAAGACTTCACTTTGAGTCATGAGTCATTTTTGTTGTAGATATTTCTCTGATATTAACTGCTCTGTTTTCATCTTGTATGTGGTTTACAATGTACCGTCTTTTATTATCAAACCTAAAATGTCAATTTATGCCCTCACCAGACATGATGTGTTTCATAAAGTCAAGGGGTAGAAATAAATAAAGATTAATTTCAAAGGGTGGTCAGTTTTCTCTCAATATATAAATGCCATAAATATAATCGCATTTATTATCTTTACACATTTAGTGTTTAGTATACAGTGTTTAGTTTGGCAAACAAAATCAGTGTTATCATTTACAAATAAAATATTAGTAGTATAATAATAATACTAAAATAATGGTGGTTAAGGATATCCCCTTCACAATGTAAAGCGTTTTGAATGTCTAGAAAAGCGCTATATAAATGTAACAAATTATTATTATAACACTGGTCTGCATTCACACAAGTAACAAAGAGTATTGGCTTTTATGCAGTGGTTTTAACTGAAGTCATCTGAGCTGACTTGCTGTTGCTCCCCTTAACAAGAAAAAAACACACTGTCTGTTTATATGTTTTCATCCTGTTTTGAAGATGAGTGTTCAAGATGTTTTAAACTCCTGTTATTCTGTTTTGTGTCTCCTCCCCTTTTCTCTCCCTTCCCCTTCTCTCATGTCTTATCTTTTTACCCAATCACTTCAAGACTCCTCTCTCTAGTGCTCAGTTTGCCTGAGTGATCTTCATTTACAGTCTGACACTCTTAAGGTTTTCGGCAGCCTCTTTTTTTACGGTGGAATTTGCTCAATCATGCTAGGTTGGAGAGGTGCACTGCTGTGTGTATTTTTGTCTCAGCTCTGGATGCAAACTCCAGGTACAGTATCATGAAAATTAATATTATCACATTAAGCCATAGGTAAATCATTGAAGCACTTTTTTTCAGACTTTCAGTCTGCCCTTGATTAACAATTTTAGAGGTTGTGATTTAGTTTGATCTGTGTGCAAGCATATGATGATTTCTGATGGTTTTCACTTAGGCATTGCTGATAAAGTCTGCAGTGGCTTTGGACACTTAGAAAATGGGCGTATGTTTTTCCGTTATGGAGGATTGTATGTTACCTTCACCTGTAATCCAGGATTCCGGATCCACGGTTACCGTACTAGCAGCTGTGTATCTGGACAGTGGGCCAGAGACCCACCGCTGTGTGTGGGTTAGTAAATATTCACAAAGTTTGTAAATATACACACATTCTGTATTGTGAAATTTGGCCATGAAGTAGATGAATCTCTCTGAGATTTGTCAAGCGAAAAAGCTTGTTTAAAATAAACTGCAGTAGTTAAAATTCTGTTTTATAGGTTCTCTAATGTAATGCTGATACTTACAGCCATACCATAAGTTGTTTTGTACCCCAGCATCAGGATGCCCCAGCCCTGGTGATCTCCTGCATGGAAGTACTGTGGTTTCTAAAGACAGATCTCTGGCCGCCTTCAGCTGTGACACTGGATTCAGTTTGTTTGGATCTGCGCTTCTCTTCTGCAAGGGGAAAAGCTGGAACGGCACTAAGCCTGTCTGCAAAGGTATGTCATCTGAATCAAGCGTAAATGCCAAAACTGTTTGATCTATTAACATATACCATTTTTCGCCTTATTGTTTTTACATCACTGCTACAATTACTTCCTGTAAAATTCACCATCTGTTTGCTTTGGCTCCTTCATGTTCCTCCTTACGGTTTGTTTCTTGGTTCTTACAGTGGCTGATATCATGAGTGTTCTTCATCTGAATCAAGACTCTTTACATGGTCCTGTCTCAGCACAGGGCCATGATGTTCCTACAAGCCTAAAAGTTCGCTTACATAGCCATTTAAACACCGCTTCCAAGGATGCTTTTTTAAAAACAGTGTTGCTTGGGGTCCCTCACATCAGACTTGACTTTACAGACCTCAAGCAGAAAAATATTAGGAAACCAGTAGAGAAGAAGCCCTCAAAGATTCTATTGTTTGACAAAACACGAGACAGTGGAAAGGCTGGGCCAATCAACAACCTTGAAAACTTCAAGGATCCAATCAGGAACTCTGTGACGGTGGCGTCTGCGAATGTCAACACGATCTCATTAGCCAGTTCTTTTCTTGAATCTTCATTTTTGAGCACCACACCAACAAGCTTCGTCCCTCCAGCAATGGCCACTCAACAAGTAAATTTCATGGATCAAACATTTACTGAAGCACCATACAGAAGAAACAAAAAAGGTTATCAGTCCACGCTTGGTACAGACAAACTATTTCAAAGAGCCTCAGTCATTTCAGCTGCTAAGACTTTACCAGAATACAGTAAAAATAATTCACACTGGATATCAACTACACCTGCACCAAACCTCAACACATTAGGCACAGATGACCATCTACAGTCAGAGACTTTCATCAAAGTAGACACCACTGAGAGTTTTGCACCTTCAACTACAAGCTATCCTGGTTTTATGGTGTCTAAACATGACTCTGTTTCCTTTGCACTTGATCCGTGGTCTACTGCTCCATCTACCTCCAGAGGACTCTTTGAACAAAGACCAGACCTTACTGAGACATCACCGCCACCAGATACCACTGGATATATATCATCAGGTGAGGAGGTCTTGACGACGGCCACCCAGCTCGTGTCTGGCCTGCATCTGAAGGCTCCAACAGACGTCCACAACTCAGCTGACATTACTGATGATCAAGTAAATGAAAAAAGCAATCAGAGTGACCCCAAACAAACACTTGATCCTTTAGCGTGGAAAGATCTTCCAAGATTTTCAAGGATACGTCGTCCAGTGTGTCCCTACCCTCCGTTTCCTTCTCATGGAACGTTCTACTTTCGGTCGATAAAGAATCCTGGCCCGCTTCAGTATAAGCATTATATTCAGTATGCATGTTACCCTGGATACACATTGACCAATGGTGACGTCTACAGCTATTGTCAACACAATGGACAATGGAGTGGCCAAACACCTCTCTGCTTAGGTGAGATATGTGACACATATTGGATCTAAATATGTAGAGAGTAAATTTTTCCAGAAAATAATCTAGAGCTTTTAATGTGAACTGTGCAATCACAAGATTCTTATTTGAAACTGCAGCATGTTATATAGTGCACAAAACATCAGTTTATTCATTTATCTATGAAAGCACATTTCCTCCACATAAGAAAAAAAAACATGCTTTCGTAAATCTTTATTATGACAAAAAGTCAAAACTATGAAATAAAAATATATTTAAAAAAATTTTTTTTTTACTTAAGTCATAACTGTGAGATGAAAAGTATTAATTTAGGCAAATCTAAATAATTATGACTTTAGCTTATAAATTTGATTTTTTTTTGTCAGTTTCGACTTCATTATTCTGATTTACAATTTTTTGTCTTTTTGTCGTAGTTATGACTGTCATGTCATAATTATGACTTAGTACCTCATTTTTTACTTTTTATGTGATAATTATGATTTATAAAAGCATGATTTTTTTTTCTTATGTGGCAGAAATGGGCTTACAGATACAGTGGTGTGAAAAAGTTTTTGCACCCTTCCTGTTTTTTTTAATTGTTTGCATATTTGTCACACTTAAAAGATTCAGATCATCAAACAAATTTTAATATTACACAAAGATAACCTGAGTAAATACAAACTGCAGTTTTGAAATTATGATTTCATTTATTAAGGGAAAAAAGCTGTCCAAACCTGCCTGGCACTACGTGAAAAAGTAATTGCCCCCTAAATCTAATAACTGGTTGTGCCACCCTTTGCAGCAACAATTGCAATCAAGCATTTGCGATAACTGGCAAGGAGTCTTTTACATCGTTGTGGAGGAATTTTGGCCCACTCTTCTTTGCAGAATTGTTTTCATTCAGCCACATTGGAGGGTTTTTGAGCATGAATGGACTGTTTAAGGTCATGCCACAGCATCTCAATCGGATTTAAGTCTGGACTTTGACTTGGCCATTCCAAAACCTTAATTTTGTTTTTCTTGAGCCATTCAAAGGTGGACTTGCTGGTGTGTTTTGGATCATTGTCCTGCTGCATAAACCAAGTGCGCTTGAGCTTGAGGTCACAAACTGACGGCCGGACATTCTCCTTCAGGATTTTCTGATAGAGAGCAGAATTCATGGTTCCATCAATTATGGCAAGTCATCCAGGTCCTGAAGCTGCAAAGCAGCCCCAGACCATCACACTACCACCACCATGTTTGACTGTTGGTATGATGTTCTTTTTATGAAATGCTGTGTTGGTTTTACGCCAGATGTAACGGGACACACACCTTCCAAAAAGTTCAACTTTTGTCTCATCAGTCCACAGAATATTTGCCCAAAAGTCTTGGGGATAAACAAGATATTTTTTGGCAAATGTGAGACCAGCCTTTTTGTTCTTTTTGGTCAGCAATGGCTTTTGCCTTGGAACTCTCCCATGGATGCCATTTTTGCCCAGTCTCTTTCTTATTGTTGAATCATGAACACTGACCTTAATTGAGGCAAGTGAGGCCTGCAGTTCTTTAGATGTTGTTCTGGGTTCTTTTATGACCTCCTGGATGAGTCGTCGTTGCGCTCTTGGAGTAATTTTGGTAGGCCGGCCACTCCTGGGAAGGTTCACCACTGTTCCAAGCTTTCTCCATTTGTGGATAATGGCTCTGACTGTGGTTCGCTGGAGTCCCAAAGCCTTAGAAATGGCTTCATAACCCTTTCCAGGCTGATACATGTCAACTATTTTGTTTCTCATCTGTTCTTGAATTTCTTTAGATTGCGGCATGATGTGTTGCTCTTTAAGCATGCTTCACTTTGTCAGACAGGTTCTATTTAAGTGATTTCTTGATTCAACAGGTC